CCTCTGGTGCAAATTACTGACCTCTGTCATCATTTTAAGTGGGGGAACTTGCACAATCGGTGGCTGACTAAATACTTTTTTGCCCCACTGTATGATGATAGCAATCATTACAAAGTGAAGCATGGGCCATCCAGAGTTAAGTATACTGTTGGCTGATACAATGTGGTATATGCATCACTGGTTGGTCAACTGAAAGTGTACCTTCCACCACTTCACATTAAACTGGGCCTAATGAAAAACTTTGTTGTGGCAATGGATAGTAAAGGAAATGGTTTCCAGTATCTGAAGGATAGGTTTGGAGAAACCAAAATGGATGCCAAGCTGAAAGCAGTATTTTTTGTTCATCCTGAAATCTGTCAAATTATGTGTTATGACACATTCAGATCCAAACTGAACAAACTTGAACTCCCTGCTTGGGATGCATTTGTGCTAGTTGTGCAAAACTTTCCTTTCAACAATCGGGCTGAAAACGATGCTGAACTTGTAAGCAACATGTTAGCAGAATATCAGGAACTCGGCTGCCGAATGCAACTCAAAATGTATTTCTTGCATTCTCATCTGGATTTTTTACCTCCAAATTTGGGTGATGTGAGTGATGAAAATGGAGAACGATTCCACCAGTATATTGTCACCATGGAGACAAGATATCAAGGCCACTTCAAACCCAACATGATGGGCGACTACTGCTGGTTTCTGCAGCAGACACTCACAAGTACAAAAGCAAGTGCCTAAAGCACCTTTGAACAGTGCATTGACATTGCATAAAGACTCAAGTGAACATTTTTATTTACACCTTTGTTAATGTGAACAAGTTTTTGTAATCTCTAACAGTTTTGAAGCAAAATGTAGTTATGTACAGTGGCTGTATAAAGAATATAAAATCAGTTTCTCATGTCTGTATGAATAGCCAATGATACTGTGTATAACTTCAGAACCTGATGTCATAGGCAGAATCTAACTATAGATGTGGACTCAGCACACTCCATTTAGTATAAGACACATGGAATACCACAAATAGCAGAAATAATATTTTGTTCTGTGATTCTGTGTAACGTCTAATCAAAGAAATCGCTGAGTCAATCCATTTAAAAAAAAAAAATTACTTACAGAGCTTTGTTGGAGGCTTTGACCACTGGCAGCAGCCTCAGAAGAGCCTCCTCTGAAGCAGAGTATTTCTGCAGGTCAAACACATCCAGATCTTTTCCTGATGACAGTAAGATGAAGACCAGAGCTGACCACTGAGCAGGAGACAGTTTATCTGTGGAGAGACGTCCTGAACTCAGGGACTGTTGGATCTCGTCCACTAGAGAACAATCATTCATTTCATTCAGACAGTGGAACAGATTGATGCTTTTCTCTGCTGACAGATTCTCACTGAGCTTCTTCTTGATGTACTGGACTGTTTCCTGATTGGTCTGTGAGCTACTTCCTGTTTGTGTCAGCAGACCTCGTAGGAGAGTCTGATTGGTCTGCAGTGAAAGACCCAGGAGGAAGCGGAGGAACAAGTCCAGGTGTCCATTTGGACTCTGTAAGGCCTTGTCCACAGCACTCTGATAAAAGAAATGTGGTTTATTTTTTCGTTTAAATATTTTAAATAACTGAGATTTTTGTTCTTCCAGCAGATTGAGTCCAGAGTTGATGAAGGTCAGATGGACATGAAGAGCAGCCAGAAACTCCTGAACACTCAGATGGATGAAGCAGAACACCTTGTCCTGGTACAGTCCTCTCTCCTCTTTAAAGATCTGTGTGAACACTCCTGAGTACACTGAGGCTGCTCTGATATCGATGCCACACCCTGTCAGGTCTGATTCATAGAAGATCAGGTTTCCTTTCTGCAGCTGATCAAAAGCCAGTTTTCCTAGAGACTCAATCATCTTCCTGCTCTCTGGACTCCAGTGTGGATCTGTCTCAGCTCCTCCATCATACTTGACCTTCTTCACTTTAACCTGAACCACCAGGAAGTAGATGTACATCTCAGTCAGGGTCCTGGGCAGCTCTCCTCCCTCTCTGGTTTCCAGCACATCCTCCAGAACTGTAGCAGTGATCCAGCAGAAGACTGGGATGTGACACATGATATGGAGGCTTCGTGATGTCTTGATGTGGGAGATGATCCTGCTGGCCTGCTCCTCATCTCTGAATCTCTTCCTGAAGTACTCCTCCTTCTGTGGGTCAGTGAACCCTCTGATCTCTGTCACCATGCAAACACAGTTGCGGGGGATCTGATTGGCTGCTGCAGGTCGTGTGGTTATCCAGAGGCGAGCAGAGGGAAGCAGTTTCCCCCTGATGAGATTTATCAGCAGCACATCCACTGAGGTGGACTTTCTAGGGTCAGTTAGGATTGTAGTTTTGTGGAAGTCCAGAGGAAGTCGACACTCATCCAGACCATCAAAGATGAACACAACCTGGAAGTCTTCAAAGCTGCAGATTCCTGCTTCTTTGGTTTCAGTAAAGAAGTGATGAACAAGTCCCACCAAGCTGAACTTTTCCTCTTTCAGCACATTCAGCTCTCTGAAAGTGAATGGAAATATGAACTGGATGTCCTGGTTGGCTTTGTCTTCAGCCCAGTCCAGGCTGTATTTCTGTGTTAAGACTGTTTTCCCAATGCCAGCCACTCCCTTTGTCAGCACTGTTCTGATTTGTTCATCTCTTCCCGGTAAGTCTTTAAAGATGTCTTCTTCTCTGATTGTTGTTTCTGGTCTGTCTGGTTTCCTGGATGCTGTTTCAATCTGTCTGACCTCATGTTCTTTATTGATCTCTGCAATCTCTCCCTGTGTGATGTAGAGCCCTGTGTATATCTGATTAAGAGGGGTTTTGTTTAATGTTTCTGAAATTCCCTCAACCACACACTGGAACTTCTTCTTCAGGTGAGATTTCAGTTTGGACTGACCCCTTTTCAGAGCCTCTGAATGAAAACAACAAAATAAAAGATAAGAGATATTAGCATTATTAGTGTGTTGTGGAATTGTTTATACAGAACAAAGAAATGTAACTGCACCCTCTCCTGCATTTTGACATTACTTTTCTTTCAGATCTTTTTCTGATGTATGAATTTTTTTTTATTTTAAATAATTAGACAAAACCCTATCTAATGTTCTTGTGCACTTGAGGAAAAAAGGAATTCTGTCAAGTTTTCAAAACTTTGACCTCAGTGACATCATCTCGGAGTCCTAAGTTAGTGCTACTTTCACTTTTGAAAATCATTTAAATCTCTTGAGTTCACTATCGGGTGATTCACCCTCCACATCTTCTCGAGCTCTTCTCTGAGCGATTGGTACTTCTCCAGCTTCTTGTGTTCCTTCTTCCTGATGTTGCTGTCATTCGGAACTGCTACATCTATCACTATGGCCATCTTCTACCAGAGTTTTGTCCATCTATATCTGGAAGTCCCACAGGATCTTAGCTCGGTCATTCTCCACCACCCTTGGGGACATCTCCCATTTTGACCTCGGGACTTCCAGGCCATACTTGTCACAGATATTTCTGTACACTATGCCGGCCACTTGGTTATGGCGTTCCATGTATGCCCTGCCTGCTAGCATCTTGCACCCTGCTATTATGTGCTGGATTGTCTCAGGGGCATCTTTACACAGCCTGCACCTGGGGTCTTGCCTGCTGTCATTGACACCAGCCTCTATGGATCTTGTGCTCAGAGCTTTTTCCTGTGCTGCCATGATTCATACCTCTGTGCTGTCTTTCAGTCCAGCTTTGTCCAGTCACTGGTAGGATTTCTGGATGTCAGCCACCTTCTCTATCTATGCAGGGGCTTGTCCTTCCATGATGGTTCCTCCTCATCCTCCTCTTTCTTGAGTTTCTGCTGCCTGAGGTATTCACTGAGCACGCGGTCGGTACTGACGCTCACCAGTCCCCGGCCTCTTTCCTTCCGCTTGGCATATAGCCTTGGCATACAGCCTCAGGGTGCTGGAGTTGGGGTGAAACCCTCCATCCATGGTCACAAGCTTCCTCATCTTGATGTCGGTGACTTCTATCTCCTGTTTTAGCCAGCGTATTATCCCAGCAGGGGTACCTGATCATGGGCAGGGCGTAGGAGTTGCGGATAAGTGGAAGGAAATGGATGGATGGATAGTTTAATGTATCTTGATGAGTATCATATGTTGCTTTAGATGAGTTTCATAGAGCTACTCTATAACTATAATAATTGTCAAAAGTATTAGGCAAATCCTGTACTAGGTTCAGCTAGATTGTTTAGATCAACTTTGGATTACATAGTTAGATAACAAGCTAGTAATTTTGGAATAATAATCATTTGAATAGAGTAATAATTCAGTCATTATAACTGTAGGGATATCATGCTGGAACACATAACGTCATAATAATTTACAATGGTAAAACACTGGAAAGTGTATAAAGCACCTGATTGGTAACAGTTCTAAAAACACATTTCAAAAATTTTAAAATATATACAAATAAAAAAAAAATTAAATTAACATGGGAGTGAGTAAACAGACCTTTGTTACACAGATGTGTGGCCTCACCTTTCTTTACAAATGATGATCGATGCAGTTCAGAGAAGAGAACTGGATCTAGTTTCCGAAGATGTTTGATCATTATCCTGCAGGCTTTGTTTCCTTTTTTCCTAACTGTGTCAACAAAGCACCGAGCCTTATTTGCTCTGGATTTGTTTTCTTCTATTATTGATTCTTTTTCCAAATCATCTAAAATGGCATCACTAACAAGGGCTTCAAGGAGCTGTGTAAGGATTTCTGTTGACACCCTCCTCACAAATTCTCTCCGCAACATGAGAAGCTCCTCTAAATGAAGAAAAAATAAACACAAACATCTATCTTAGTAAACTTAACACTTTTAGGAAGATGTGCCAATAGATTAAGATTGATAGATTTCACATGTGAGTGAATTCCGATGACTTTATATTTGAATCTAAAAGTCCCATAAACTCCCAAGATGGAAAGTATAAGCACAGTGTTGTGCCATTTCTTCAAGTACCTGAAATCTATTGTTATCTAAGGGAGGTCATTTCCAAGACTCTTATTCTTATGCTCCCTGCTTATTGCCCATAAAACTCCACAATGTACATCCTGTTGGGCAGGCTGTTTCCATCTAGACAAAACCTGACTCACAGACACAGGTTTGTAACTGTGTCTCGGTCTGCTGCAGTAGAAATGCTAAACATATAAATTAGAAACAGCTACATTGATTTACGAGATTTGTTAACTTGTATCCGCACTTACGGACCCTCTAGGGACCCACTTGCAGTGAGTTTTTGCTTCAGTGTAGCCTAGTGTTTGGTCGCTCTCCACGCACTTTCATTGATGACGTGACGTGGGTCTCTTACCTGATCAGCAAATTGCGGGAGCGAGTCCTGAGGGGGGCAGTGATGGGTGTTGACCCATTCCTTGCCGTTCTACTCCTATGACATGTTTTTAGGTCAGTTTAAAACAACGTTTGCTTAACCTGTTTCTGAGAATGGTTCACTTCGAAAATTGCTAACCCTTCGTCAGGGTCAGTGAAGTATAGCAGCGGAGGTGGGCTGGCCAGATCAAGCGTAACAGGGGGTATTTCTCCGTTGAATGAGACTATGACAGATCAGCTCACCACCCGTGATGAGCCTGCTTCAGGTTAGGAAAAGGAAAGGGTTAGGGAACTTTTCCAAGTTTCCTCACGTTAGTTCCACACACAGTTCAGCACCACACTGGAACCTATGCAAATTGGCTGGTCCCAGTTGTCCCCGGAGGAGAGGGAGCGACTTTTTTTCTTGTGGTTCTTATCTGTCATCCACCCAGCTAATCAGCCCACATAACAAAATTGGTATGGCCTACACAATGTGCTTAGACATACCGCAAAGAATGACGGACCTTTGGTGGCCCAGACCTGGTTTGCCAGAGATGGCCCACACATGGGCCAGCACAAGGCCAGTTGCATACACACTGCTGGCCCTGTGCTGTCCCAGAACAGTTTCAGCTCTGGCCCCAGATTCAGCCTAATGTGTACCTTAATCAAGTCGTGTAATAACAACATGTGCCAGAACATTCAAAAGTAACATGACAAAACTGTTCAGACAGTGAATACACTGATTCTTATATAACACTTTATTACTCTCCCCGATTGTGCTCTCTACAACAAGCCACATTCACCTAATCACACACTTTCTCTTAACTGGGTGCTTCCTAACTACATTAATACATATTCACACTCTCAACATGCAGACTGGAGGAGCCAGGGATCGAATCACTAACCTTCCGATCAGTAGGTGACCTGCTCTACTGCCTGAGCTACAGCCACCCAGTGGTTAACATGAGTAAACCGTTAGTAGGCTTTGGATAAAGTGTAAAGTCACACACCTGTCAAACCTGCATTTGAAACATTGGCTACCACAGCAGTATAGTATTGCAACATGGCATTTGGGTCTTCTAACTAAAATAGGAAAATAGGAACATAAACAGTGCCATCATTGCCAGATCTGGTGCACATCTGGTTGACATACACTCTGCCATGACACCAGTCAGTCAGAAGTGCCAGCTTGTTGCCAGATCTGGGCCAGACCTGTTTTCTGCAGGCCTGGGCCACATAAACCAGACCTGTCTATGTGATGGCATGCCATCACATAGACAGTGCCATCTATGCGAGGCCTGGCCCATATCTTTACGACATACGTCTTATCATGCCAGAAGTCAGCCAGCAGTGCCGACTTGATACCAGATCCGAGCCAGACCTGCTTGTTACGTGGGAGTGACGTCAAGCCCTTATAAATTGGGGTTCTGAGCAAAGTCTAATAAATGTTGAAATCCCAAAACGATTAGATATTCTAGAAATTCCCCTCATGCCATTAGACCCCCCCCAAACACACACACACCACACCAATTGCCTAGCTTCAGCGTGCACCCTAGGCACCTTGTGGAAGGCACAGAACAACCATTTATAGTCTGGACTGATCACAAGAACTTGACTTACTTACTGCATGCTACAAGATTAAATGCTCGGCAAGCCCTGCTACTCTTTGATCCTTTAACGTCTCAATCTCTTACCGTCCAGGTTCTAGGAATGTAACGCCAGATGCTCTCCCCCGCCAGTTTGACTCTGACTTGAATCACTCAGAGTTACCTCTTATACTTCCGGTCAGCTGCAGGATTGGGGCAGTCTCATGGGACGTGGAGGATCCATTTATTGCGCACTTCAAATGGAAACAGATCTTGGGTCTGGCAGACTGGTGCTATGCACCCGCGGTGGTTCGTTCAAAGGTCCTTGAATGGATTCACACCTCCAAGTTCGCCTGCCACACAGGCAGAGGTCGGACTTTCACTTTGATTAAAAGACACTTTTGTTGGGAGACATTGGACAGGTAAATCAGGGAGTATGTGGCCACTTGTACTGTGTGTGCCAGGAACAAATCACGGAATCAGCGTCCTGCAGGACTGTTGCAGCCATTACCCAAACCAAATGGCCCATGGTCCCATATCACATTGGATTTTGTCACAGGACTCCTGGTTTCTGCAGGAAAAACTGTCATACTCACCATTGCAGATAGATTCTCAAAGATTCCCCACAGCCTCCTGGTGCAGGTGGAACACATCTTCCAACTCCATGGGATCCCTGCAGAAGTAGTGTCTGATAGGGGTCCACAATTTTCATCTCAGGTTTGGAAGGCCTTTTGCACAACCTTGAGGGCTAAGCCCTGCCTAAGGTCTGATTATCATCCACAGACTAATGGATAAACTAAACACCTTAATTAAGAGCTTGAGACCACACTGTGTAACCACCCATTACCCTGCCACCTGGTCTGCTTCTCTCTGGGTTGAATATACTCACAAAACTCTTGCCTTCTATGCCACAGGCTTGTTCCCATTTAAAGTATTCATAGGTTATCAGCTGCTGCTTTTTCCTCAGCAAGAAACTGAGCTCACCATTCCGTCCATCCAACACCACCTGCAATGTTGCCATGGTTTCCTACAATGGACCTTTTAAGGTAGACAGAGTAATTAGCCCTACGGCGGTTATAATTCCCTCGAAGCACAGGCAGACGCAAGTGGTTT